CCCCAAAACCCCAAAACCCCAAAACCCCAAACCCCCAAAACCCCAAAACCCCAAAACCCCTGAGTACAGGAATGTCACTGACCCTAATTATATTAATTATTATAATCACAAGTAATGGCATTCCTCGCTTATAGAGCTTATAATAATCTCGTTGGGAAGAGAGTCATGAGGCTTACTTACCAAAGAGCAGCCTATTTGTCGGAATTTAACGAGTCAGGTATCAAGCCTGAACCTCTGATTAAGACAGAAGAAGAACTTATCCTAAAAAGACCATGGGCAACATATCCATTTATCAAAAATCAAGAGTTTTCAATCCCAATTTACAATCTTCATGATGGCGAATACTCTGGAGAAAACGTTGAATTAGATCAAGAGTTGTTTAATGTGCCATTCAGAAGAGATTTGATGAAGGACGCTTACCTATACCACACTTTCTTTGGAGTTAAAACATTTGTTAGGTCAAAAACTAAAGGAACGATGGCTGGAAGTGGAAGAAAACCTAAACCACAAAAGGGAGGGGGTACTGCTAGGCAGGGTAATATCAGGTCCCCAATACTTGTTAAGGGAGCTAAAGCTCATGGAAGAAAGCCAAAGGATTACACTATCGGAATTAATGCAAAATCTTTGCTGAAGGCAATGAAAACAACTCTCACTGGGCTTCTTTATGAAAGGCGTATTGCTGTGATTCAATCAGAGAGTTTAGAATCTTATAAAACTAAATACCTAAATAAGCTCCTATACAATTTTTCTAACCCAACAAAGAGAAGGATCTTGTTTGTTATCCCTATTAACCCATGCCCTAACTTTTTGAAGGCTTCAAGGAATATCCCAAATATTAATGTTATGAATATTCGTGAGATGACCATCAAAGATGCTTTGAAAGCTGAAGCTATATTCTTCACTAAACAATCTTTATCAGAGTTAGAAATGCAGTTAGAGACTAACCACATGGAACTCTATAGAAACCGTAACTTGCCTCGTCCAAAACTTCCGTATGATGACTTACTACAAATCGATTATAGCAAGGCACCTGATTTCTTCGATAAGGTCAAAATTGAGATGGAAGCTTTCGAGTTCGACCCAGAGAAAGAAGCCCATATCTACAGTAAAGCTCTCCAAGGCTACCTTGAGAAGGCACAAAAATACCATGAGCAAAAGAACGAATTGCACTCTGATCCAGACATCATGTTTGTCAATAAGGCTGAATAAAGTGTTTTGTAAATGGAACTTGCACCTCCAATTTCCTGAATTTATACTGGGGTTTTGGGGTTTTGGGGTTTTGGGG